CATCTTTAAACAAACAAACAAAGACACTAGAAGCATAACAAACTATAAATCACTGATAAAAGGTTTCTTGGAGTGAGGTAGGTGGGTCATACATGTTATTGAACCTTTCTCATCCACAAATGTCGCATTTTGAAGATGAATATAAGACTCTATCTGAAGGAGAAGTGAGCTATGTGATCCTCATAATATCTTCAAATATCAACCACATCAGCTATGCTTTCTGTCAAGAATTACAAAGTAACAATTGCAAGACTAAATTTTTAAGCAAATGCCTGCAGAAAAGTATTCTATGTCACTAAGAAGAAAGACCCATTTCCTTAGGATAGAAAACATGCAGAAAATAAAACAGTCTTGAAAGTTGAAACACTTGGATGGAGGGAAGGAATTTTTTTTAATGGGAATTTTTCTTAGATGTTGGAAGTTTAAAAAGAACAAATACCTTAAAGTTGATATAAAGATTAGCAGGCACTGTACTAAGCAGTTCACATACATATGCTGTTTTAACCTTATCCATACAAGCATGGGATGCTCCAGGCAAGAATACTGGAGTGGGTTGTCACGCCCTCCTCCAGAGGATCTTCATGACCCAGGGATCGAACCCACATCGCTTACATCTCCTGCATTGGAAGGCGGGTTCTTCACCACTCATGCCACCTGGGAAGCCCTGTTTTAACCTCACCAGAGCCCTAAAGTGGTAATAGTATACCTATTTATCATCCGAATTCTTCCCGTTACAAGTAACAGAAAATCAGACCTCAACTGCCTGAAGCTTAAAGGGAAGTTATGCACTCAGGTTAACTGGAAAGACTCAGAGTTGGGTTAAAGCCCCTTCAGGACTTAAACTACCTCACCAAGGCTTGGACTCTGTCCAAATCTCCACCACTTCCTGTTGAATCCCCTTCTGAGGTTCAGGACAGTCCCCCAGCAGCTTCCCGCTCTCACCCTGTGAGGAGAAGAAGCGCAGCTGCAGTTTCACGTGTTCCCTTGTTCCTGCACTCAGCAGGAAGAATAAAGGAATGTTCCCTGTAGCTCCCACAAGCAGACAGAGTCCATCTGATCAGACCCGCTCGGGCCCACGTGCTTGCCAGCTATAAGTCACTGTGGCCAGGACACCGAGACTTTCTGCTGAGCTGAGGCTGGTCGTGTGCTCCATCCCAGGACGCCTGATGGCACAGGGCTCATGGACGCTGACGGGAGGAATAAGAAATGCCCCCTTTATGTATAGAACCCAAAAGGAAGACCTACCTGACTGATCCTAAAGCTCTGGGCTCTCTCCTCTGTGCTGGAGGGACACTCCCAGTCACAGAACAAAAGGTTCTCTGACCAGTGACCCTGCCTTGTCTCCTAGCCCCATCACCATCAGAACGTCAATCAAGGTTACAGTGTCTGTTGGAAAAGCTTCCAAGAGTATGTGAAGATTAATAACTTAAAATTCACTTCATTATGAATTTAATTTGGCTTTACCAAAACATCTTAGCTTAATTTTAGTCAGTTTCTACAAACTTTCTTTTTTTTTCCTACAAACTTTGAAACAAGAGTGGCCACCTTAGAAAATTTAATTCCACTAGGAAAAAAAAACCCTTCAATGAATCTTCTAATTGTCTTGTTTCATCAATATAATACCATTCATTCCCATGTCACATCACTAACGTGGCCTTCAACAATCAACGATCTATTTCCAACCAACTTGGTAAGTTCTTTAGACCTCTCTTTCAGAGGAGTGGAGAAAAAAGGGACTATTTGCATTTTGTATTTTGTGTCTGTACTTTCAGCTGAACTTCGTTTCAATAAAAGTTGAAACACACACTGAGTCAGTGTCTCAACAAGCTTCTGTTGGTCTCCGGGTTGGGCCAGAGTGAGGCGTTAAGTACGGCATCCAAGCTTACCTCTAACGACTAAAAAGCCAAAGAAATGTACGAAACAGTGGATTTCAGACCCTGGACAACGGACAGTGCGTGATGTGATGCTTAGAGAAGGGAAACCAGGTGGGCCCAGGCGAGTCCAAGCCATAACCGAGGCAGGGCGGCGGCCCGGCGGCCCGGGACAGGCGGGTTCCAGGAACCGCGCGGGGCGCGTGGGGAGAGAGCCGCGGGTACAGCGCCCCGGGCCGGGCCGCAGGGCAGCCCGTCCCGCCCGCCTGCGCGCGCACCGCGCCCCCGAACGAGGGCCGGGTGAGCGGGCACGCGCGGCGCGGCCCTGTGCGGCGCGCGGCCGACGAGCGTGCGCGATAAGAAAGCCCCGCCCAGGCGTACTGGGCGCTCGGCAGGGCCGGCGAGCATGCGTGATGAGGCTGCAAGCGGAACGGGCCCGGCGAGCATGCGCAGTGTGGCAGAGCCGCGGCGGGCCTCCGGAAAGCGGTTCCCGGCCCGGGGCGGCTCGCTGATGAGCATGCGCGCTGGTGCTAGCCTGGCGCGGCGATGGTTGCTAGGCAACGACGAGCCGCGTCGGTGGATGGCTCCGGCCGCTGTGGGCGTGCGGCGGGTGGGGTCGATTGCGCGGCAGGTGTGGTCTCCGGTGGGGTACGGGGGAGGGGTGGGCGAGGGGGCGCCCTGCAGGCGAAAGCGGTGGGCACTGTCCCGCCCACCTGCTCCGCGGCCATCCCTTGGGAGGGCCTGAAGGGTCAGCGCTTGAGAACCGTAACCTGTCCGTTACTGAAACGCTTCACGTGGACAGCTGACCCTTGAACTCAGTGTGAACTGCTGAGTCCTCCCGTGTGCTGTGCGCGGATGTTCTTCAATAAATATCGTGCTACAGCGCCTCGCCCTCCTTGGAGCAGGACAGGGGGGCGCCTGGGGCTCGAGCGTCCTGGGGCCTTGGTCAAACCACTGGTACCCAGGGACCGGAGGATTTCAATTACATCTGTCTCTGTGCTTCTGGCCAACCTAGGTGCAGTCTCATCAAAAACGTAAAACGAGGGATTCCTGAGTTATAAAACGTAATAAGACAGTGTCCAATTGTCTTTTAAAAGTTCCTCTTGTATGCCTGTGTTTTTAACTAGGGTGTTTATGAATTAGCTTAAAGTCACTTAGACAAATTGGTAACTAATTACTTTGGCAACACAGTAGTGTTTTTATGTTACCAAGTCCTACATCTTTTAACTAATTGTTAACAATGGAATTTACAAAGAAAGAATATTCCTATTAATTTTAGCTCTAAATACTGGCTAAGGATTAACTTTCTAACCCTACCATTGCCACAGACTAATTATATAATTTCGGTGGAGTCAGTAATCTCTGGATGTTTTCTCATTTTAAAATGAAGTTAGCATGTGTGTGCGCGCGCGCGCACGTGCGAGCTCAGTTGTGTCCGCTTGTTTGCGACCCAAAGTGAGGTTGGACTATACCTCAAAAAAATGAAGTTGAACTAAATACTTGAAAATAGTTTCTAATGCTGAAATTTAATGACACTATAGGATGTACAAGGGGCACCGTTTTTAAAAGCTCTTATCCTGATGTTAATCACAATGGCTTCCACGAGATAAAACTGTCAACTGCAGATGGTTAGCTGTGATTATTAAACAATTTTTAGGATGATGTAAACTATAATCTGCCAGGTTGTGGGCGTTTTTAAAGTAGAAGATTCTGGTAGTGATCTTTCAGCATTTTAAATGTCTTCTGCCATTTCTTCAGCCTAGACTGTTGTGATGAAACATTGGATGGAAACTTCCTTCATGCCTCTCTTGATGCCAGAATTGAAGGGGAACGAGGTTGCCATGGAAACGGTCACCTCGCTTCTAGAGGATCTTGGCAGCAGCTAAGCCCTGACTTTTCTCATTCTACATTTCTCATTCGACACTTTCTCCTTAGGAAGTTCATTCTGTGGGACTAACTGGATGTAGGTGTCCATCCTGAGACTCACATTAGGGATTACTTCCTTTCTTGTCTTACAATCAGGCCCTCAGTACTGCTCCCTAGATGACTTCAACAGGGTACTGTCTCTCCCCACCCCAATGTATTTTGGTCTCTTTGTCTTCTCAGATGGTAAAGAATCATAAGACATACCCTTGTCTAAAAACTGACAGGGGTCAATTCCAAATTCTTCCTCCAGCTTTGAAGGGAATTGGGCTGTGTCATTTAATCCTGACAGTAGTCCTGCATGGGGAGTGCTGTGTGTGTGTCTTGAGCTGGGCAAGCAGACTCAGATATGCTACATATTTTGCAAACAGAGCAAGCCTGGAACCTGGCTCATGGTCTGTAGTCTGTGCTTTTGGCAGGGGGAAGTCACAGGCGTTCCTCCTCCGTCCCAGGGCATCCACTGTTCCCTTCTCCTCTGAAACGTAAACCTCTGCTGACTTCTGGAGCCCCTCTGCTTTTCTCATGCTGTGGGGCAGCATGTTCATCATCCACTCTCTGTCCTTCAATTTCCAGGTTTAGTATTATCTCTTTAAGAGGATTCCCTGATGGCTCAGATGGTAAAGATTCTGCCTGCAATGCAGGAGACCCAAGTTCGATCCCTGGATCAGGAAGATCCCCTGGAGAAGGAAAATGGCAACTCACTTGAGTATTCTAGCCTGGGAAAGCCCATGATCAGAGGAGACTGGCAGGCTACAGTCCATGAGGTTGCAAAAAGTCACAGGAACTAACACTTTGACTTTTCAAGAAGTATTTCATGTACATTCTCTGATCTTTTAGTCTGAAATTTTGTTGTATTCACACAAGATATCATTACATTTAGCAATGGATTGTTCTCATTCACATTAATATGTTTCCCCCAACTCACTGGAGAACTGCTTGAGGACAGGGCTTGATCAAGATGCAACTGGCTTGAATTCCTCCAAGACCAGATCACGGAGTGTGGGCTGTGGTGGTAGGCGGTCCTGTCACTTCACCATCAGTTAGACCCTCAATTTTATCTCTTCCCCATAAACTTCATCAGATGTTTTATGCACACTCTAACTCTGACTTTCTGTTGACTTTTTTACAGTAGAAGAATTAAAGGACTGGGATATGAAATGATGATATAATTTGATATAGCCAAGCAACAGCTTCTCCCAAATCAGCATGTTAAGAAATAAGGTACACAATCCTGTTTAAAACACAGATGTTGTTTTACTCATGCATATGTTTTAACTCAGCTATATGATGGTATAAAAAGAGTTTGCAAACCTTGCATCAGTGAGGCACTGTCAATGTAGTGCTTGGTGCAAGCATTTCTTAGCTGCAGAGCAGTTTTATTTTGTATAAGTTTTCACCAAAGAAACATGCACTTAAATGCAAGGTACTCTGTAGTATAACAGAAACAAGCTTTGCCTAATTATAGTGAAACAATGTGCTCGGGCATGCACAACTTTTATAGGTCAGAATATATTTATTATTATTATAATTAAGGCCTTAGTAATTAAGTGAAAAGATGTTACTGTATCATTAACATAAATGAGACTGGGCTTTGGTCCCCCGACTTGGGTAGCGATAGGTGCAGCGTTCTTTACTACTGGATCTGGTCTGGTATGCCATAAAGGTTGAGTATTAAAGTGTAAGCTTTCTTGTAAATGAGCCATTAGATAATGTAACTATAAGGCTTTTTTCCCTACTTTTTAGGGTCATTCCTCCAAACAGGATAACTTAGCAGTCACTGCAGTGGCTTTACAAGATCACATTGTACATGATCTTCAACTTCAAAATCTTTCAATAGCAGACTCTTCTAAGACAAAGGTACAAAAGACAGAGAACAGATCCAAATCTCTAAGAAGAAATACAAAGGCCCTAATAGATACTGGACTTAAGAAAACCACACAAGGAGGCCCTAAAGTGGAAGATCCAGAAAAAGAATATGTTCTTGATCCAAAACCACCACCATTAACTTTAGGTAAGCTGATCTCATCACTCTTATTTTGACTTACTAGAGCTAAAGAATCTAGTTGAGATGAATAGTACCATTTTCTCTGGTACAGAAGTTATTTTAATTTACAATCTTACAGAAAGATATGTGTATATTAAAGTTTAAAAACAGTGGTGGGGACAGTTTGAGCAAAAATTAAAGACAGTAATGATAAATGAAAGTTGCTTAGTTGTGTCCGACTCTTTGCAACCCCATGGACTAAACAGTCCATGGAATTCTCCTGGCCAGAATACTGGAGTGGGTAGCCTTTCCCTTCTCCAGGGGATCTTCCCAACCCAGGAATCAAACCCAGATCTCCCACATTGCAAGCGGATTCTTTACCGGCTGAGCCACAAGGGAAGCCCAGTAATGATAAGTAGAGCAAGAATAAGTAAGAGGAGAATAAAGTAAATATCGTTAATCTACAGTGATAGAAATAAATCATTGAATAAATAATAGGAAAAGCTCTTTCTTACAGTCGATTAACAGCTATTAAATATAGTAGATAGGGGCTAGAAATAGGAAATCAGCATCTGGCCAAGACCATAGTGATAAAAAGCAGCCACATCACTTTGCTGACAAAGGTCCGTATAGTCAAAGCTATGGTTTTTCCAGCAGTCATGTACAGATGTGGGAGTTGGACCATAAAGAAGGTGGCAGCCAAAGAATCAGTGCTTTCAAACTGTTTTTCTGGAGAAGACTCCTGAGAGTCCTTTGGACTTCAAGGAGATCAAACCAGTCAGTCCTAAAGGAAATCAACCCTGAATGTTCCTTGGAAGGACTAACATGAAGCTCCAATATTTTGGCCACCTGATGCGAAGAGTCAACTCATTAGAAAAGACCCTGATGCTGGGAAAGATTGAGGACAAGAAGAGAAGGGGATGACAGAGGACGAGCTGGTTGGATGGCATCACTGACTCGATGGACATGGGTTTGAGCAAACTCTGGAGAAAGTGAAGGACAGGGAATCCTGGCGTGCTGCAGTTCATGGGTCACAAAGAGTTGGACATGACTTAGTGACCGAACAACAACCACAGTGACGACAGTGATACCCGGATGCTGGAAGTAGTGGGGAGTGGCGCTGCGACTTGGATCTGGGCACAGCCTCAGAGCGTCGCCCCAGGGACGTACTCACTGCACAGAGAAAGCGGTGGCACCTTGACCAGTTGAAGAAGTCGGGCCAGGCTCTCAGAAGGGCGCAGGCCCCTCCTAGACATTCCCGCCAGAGAAGCATCTCTCAGTCTGTTCTGAGGACACATCAGCTGACCCAGAGGGAGGTTCCTGGCCGGGGCTCCGCAGATGCGTCAAGAGAAGCAAATAAAGACCGAGGTGCCAGGCCAGGTCCTGAGGGACCAAGGGGGCAGGCCAGCTGAGCACATGTGGAATCGGGGTCAGAGCAGAAGGGCATCAGTGAGACTAGAAGGACGCCCAGCAGGGCGGACAGATGAATCGAGAGTGCTGGATCAACAGGCCGAGCAGGATGGGACCACGGCACTCAGGTCCCATGACATGTTAGCATCTGGAGAGACTGAGTGCAAGGCGCGTGAGGCTCCTTTACAGGGTTTTACAGCGTTTACAAGTCCAAATTATTGTAAGCTGCAAACTTAGGAATAGAAAAGGTTTATTTCTTATTTTTATTTTATTTGTTGCTAGGGAGGTCAGATCCAGCCATGCACCCAGGAGGAGGCTGGCAAACATCAGCTAGCTTCTGCCAAAGATTCACGGGGTTAAGTGGATTTGTCCCTGCAAAGAACAGAGGAAGAATGTTCTTGATGGAGACAAAGGCATGTGCAGGGGTCTGAAGCAAGACAGCTTGGGTATCTGAGCTGCTGAAATAAGAATGAGCTGGGGCCTGGTGAGCGAGGGTGGGGCAGAAGGAAAGACTGGGGAAAAACCGGGAGGGGACGATTAGGAGAGGGGCTTGTGGTGTAACACTTCTGTTGTGATGAAATATACATAATATATCAAGTTTACCACTTCAGCATTTTTAGGTGTGTAGTTCAGTGGCAGTGAGTGCACTCCCACTGCCCAGCAATCATCACCGCTGTCTGTCCCCAGAACGTCTTCATCCTCCCAGACTCTGCCCACTTAAACACGCCCAGCCCCTCTCCCCACCTCGGCACCCACGGGTTTCCTCTCTGTCTCTGAGAATCTGACCACTTTGGATCAGTCATTTGGTATCTGTCCTTTTGTGTCTGGCTTGTTGCTCTCGGCATAACGTCTTCAGGGTTCGAGCTGACAGTTGCAGCACTGTCAGAACCTCCTCCTTGCTTAGGCCTGAACACCGTCTGCTTGCCGGCATACAGCACGTCTGTCCATTCCGTCGGGGGATGCTTGAGTTGTCTCCTCTTTCAGTTACCGTGAATGGTGCTGCCAGGAAGCTTTTTGTACAAATACCTGTTTGAGTCTCCGCTTTCCATCCTTTGGGGCATGTGCCGAGAAGAGGAATTGCTGGAGCGTATGGCAATTCTACATTTAATTTTTTGAGAAACCGATGCTGGGCCTGGAGAGGAGGTTTGCTGGGGACCTGGTGGCGGAGGGCGGCTGGCGGGTGGAGAAGGAGCCAGAGGCCTGCGGGCGGGAGCTGCCCTGTGAAGGGGAGCCCGGGGCCCCCACAGTGCCAGACGGAAGCTCCGACCTTCTCCCCGGAACTGCTCACAGCGCTAGTCCCGTCCTAGATGCGGTGTCGCACAGAAGTGCGCAGCTTGGAGCACCAGACAGTGGTTAGTGACGGCCTTCCGTCTCACGGTTTACAGAAACCATCAGGAGCCTCGGCACCGTCGCCTGAGGCTGTAAATTACACCAGCCTCCCGATTTGGAGTAAAGGAGTCATTCTTTCAGGACCTCTGAATGAAAAACACATCTTCGCATTATGTATGTTAGCTACTAGTGAGGTGGGTCTATTAGGGGAAGCACGCTGACTGAAACCGCCCACCCTGGCCAGGCACCATAGTGACCATTTGCCTGAGCTGTTTTATGACAAGAGGTCCTGGAAAGGAACACGGAAGTAATAAGCCACTCCCCACCGGAATAGTGCGGGAAAGGTCAAAAGGACACACCACATGGCCGACACCTCCCAGAATCCTCCTCTCTGGCCTCCATCTTGGCTGAACAGGGCTGCACCACCAGGAAGGACTCTGAGTCAGAAGGATTGACTAAGACACCCTGGAAACTAATCCCATTACCAAAAACCTGAGATGGCAAGCCACGTGGCAGGGCAGTTCTCCTGGGTTCCCTGGCCCTCCCACTCTCCACTCGGGCGCCCCTTCCCAATAAAATCTCTGGCTTTGTCAGACATGTGTCTCCTCGGGCAATTCATTTCCAAGTGTTAGACAAGAACCCAGTTTCGGACCCTGGAAGGGGTAGCACACACTCTTAACTGTTGTCCAATCCGAATAGCGCTCTTGGGTTCCCATCTTTTCTTGCTGACATGCTGGAGTTCTCAGCATCCTCTTTGTCTGAACCCCCTGTTGACTTCGCCACAGAGACTATCCTCTCCAGGTCTGTGTCTGATCGTATATTTGAGCACTCTTCTCTCCAACTACTGTTTTGTCTAACAGTTTTTCCTCTTTATTCTTTATGATTTGGGGGATTTCCATCCTTACCCATCCTTGAAATCACAAAGATGTCCCCGTCTTTTCTTCACTACCTTTGAAGCTTTGCATTTCACTTAGATCTCAGCCTAGTTTATTTTGCAGATGATTTGGGGAACATTATTTCATATAACGATTAAAGTTAGATTCTTCCCTCAAATCATGAGCCATGCTTTCTTAGCTGGTTCTGGCACCACGTTGTGCAGGCAGCGAGTTTTCTGTGTTTATTCGAGAGACAGAGAGGGAGAGTGTGCATGATTTGGGGCTTCTGTTTCTATGTCAGTATCTCACTGTTTTCATTCATAAAATTTTGTAATGTGCTGTAATAACTCATAGGAAAAGTGCCAAAATCTGTCCCCCGGAATGTCTTCCAAAAATATACTCTCTCAGTACATTAAAATACAGTAGGTGACCTTTCATTTTATCTTCATGGAGACATTCTTTCTAGAACCTTCCACCATTCCTCTCGCATCTGGACAGTTGCTCTGTGGGCCTGGTGTGGCGCTGTGGGCCCTGGGCCTCTGCTCAGGACCCTCCTGTGGACTGCAGCCCTGAGGCTCTCCTGCCCCTTAGCTTTCTGCACCCTGCAGTGCCGTTGTAGAAGGTACTTCTGGGAAAGAGTGCGTGAGAGGCCACATCCAAGCGTGCAGACAGGAGACACCTGTGTCCTGCCCCGACGTGGATCGTCGCTGATAAGAGATTCTCACATGTAAAGCTTTGTCTCACAATTCTGGAAGGGCTGCTTCCTGGCGTCTGTGTTGCTGTGGATGCATCTGATGTGCTTCTGGCTCCTGGTCCTTGGGGATCTTTTTCTGCCTCTGCAGCTTCACAGAGACTGGAGTTGTGTGAGTTTTTCGTTCGGTCCTTGCTGGGTCCTCTCTGACTAAAAACAGGTGTCCTCTTCTGGGAGACGTTTGGGCTATTTTCTTTAAGTTGTTTACTCTCCAGTTTCTTTTCATTCTGGAACACCTGTCTTTCAGATGTCAGACTTATCCTTGAGTTTCCTTATTTTCTGCCTCCTCCTGTACCATATTTTCCTACTTTGAGATATCTTAACTTCCTCCTGCGGTCTTTTGGTTGACTCTCGTATTTCTAATGGACACTAAAACGTTTCCATCTTCGAGAGCTCTTTCTTGTACCCTAAGCGGGCCTGTCGAGGCCTCCCGTTCTTGTTCCGTAAACCTAGCACTTCACTCTCTGTCCCTGAAGGCGGCCCTGTGGGCCTCAGTGGCCTGGGGGCGGGGTGGGGAAGCTGTGCTTACGCCCCCACCCCCCGCTCTCCCGAGCTCCTCAAAATTCCTTCTCCAGAGTGAGTGCTTCCGCTGGAACAGATGCTCTGGGCCTGCTCTAGGGTAAACATGCAGCAGACCCTCAAAAGTGGCTGAGGCAAGGACTGATCCTAAAAGTAACTGTACGTCATAAGAAGTTTTTAGCAAGGGAAGAACTGGGTTGATGCTCATGTTACAAAGGTCACTGGCAGCAGAAACAAGCAAAATTGGAGGAAGGCAATGCTGAAGGCTGAGAGAGAAGTTAGCTGAGAAATGAGGAGACCTTTGGCCAACACCTGTGAAAAATTTGTAAAATAGGATATCAGCCCAGCTTGCTTTATAGAATCATTGTGAAAATTAAATAGATATGTGGAATTCTTTGTAAATAAAAACAACATAAATCTAAGATATCATTCATCTTGAGAGTCCTTGGACAGCAAGGAGATCCAACCAATCCATCCTAAAGGAAATCAACCCTGAATATTCACTGGAAGGATTGATGCCGAAGCTGAAGCTCCAATACTTTGGCCACTTGATGCAAAGGGCTGACTCATTGGAAAAGCCCCTAACGCTGGGAAAGATTGAGGGCAGGAGGAGAAGTGGACGACAGAGGATGAAATGGTTGGATGGCATCACAGACTCGATGGACATGGGTTTGAGCAAGCTCCGGGCGTTGATGATGGACAGGGAGGCCTGGCGTGCTGCAGTCCATGGGGCTGCAAAGAGTCGGACATGACTGAGCGACTGAAGAACACCAGATTATTCTCCTTGACTTCTGTGCACCCGTATAAAAGCAGCATTCTAAGTACAGTGGAATGAAGTAAGTAATGTGAGTGTTTTGCCTTAATACTTGCAAAATAATGTCATTAAAATGATGCATGAGTTACCACCCTGTAAAATGCACTGGACTCACATTCCCTGTTGTTTGAACCTCAGCACAGAAGTTGGGCCTCTTTGCCCCTCCCCCGTCGCCACTGTCGGCGGATGAATGGGACAGAGTGAAGCAGAGGTCCGTGGAGCAGGGGGACTCCATGCAGCCGTGCCCGATATGCAGAGAGGAGTTTGGACTTCACCCGCAGGTGTTTAACGTGAGCCTTAGATAAGCAGGCCTGCGGGGCGTTCTCCAGTGACTGGACTCTGAACTGGGGATTAAGAGGGTCCACGCTTCTTTCTTCCAGTCTCTTCCTCCTATTTGATCCTCAAAGACTCAACATTTTCTTTTCCATTAGTTAAGTTTGTTTATGAGAAAGAGCTAAACACCCTCACTGAACACTCTTATTTACTGATTGCTCTTAATTCTCAAGTACAGAGTTTGTACGGGACTGTTCCCACTCCACTGGCCATGCGCAGCGGGGGTGGGGGAACCCAGCTGGCAAGTTGCACAGAGCAGAAGAGTGGGGATCATTTATGTTGTTTCAAGAATTGAAATCCTAAAAGGAAAACCGAGCTTGAATATCTCCAAAGAATCTGTGGGAGGATCTTTAAGTAAAATCTTATAACAATCTTTATTATGAAAGTTTACCATAGTAAGACTGATGATAATATAGATAATATACTATCAGTCTATGTCATAGGTTTTTTTTTTCCTGTACATACTTTGTCTAATTAAACTTCAATCTCCTGAAAGTTAAGGGGCTCTGCTATTTCTAGAATCTTTTGTTGTTGTTTTTTTTTAGCTAATGACCACCCTGAGTAATTTCTCTCATATGTAGCATTATGCTTCCTACACAGAGGCACTTGGAACTTTGCTTTTAAAAAAAGAAAATACAGCAAATATATTTAAAAGCAGGCTTAGAATTCACAGCCTAGGAATCCCAGGCTTCGTCTACCAACCTGACACATAAACTCTCAAACTTCATTTGTTTTAATGAGTTTTTATGGTTAATGAGTTATTTCACAATCATAAACTTTTGTTCTTTACTAATTTGAACTCACACATTATTTTAAACATACTTATTATGTTCTAGTTCTCTATCAAGACCTAATCTCTTATGTACATGGAAGTTGGGTATTTCAGAAAGATTGTGGTCCTTAAAGCATGGAAGTAGCTCTGGGACGATTTACCATTTAGTTAATGAGCTAATAAAGCCGAGAGGAGTCTTTCTGGCCCCAACAACCTCTTCCTTAATTGTGCTGCAGACACTTGGTCCAATGGTGATGTGAAGAAGGAAATCTTGAAGCTGAGTATCTGAAGGGGGACTGGAATGTCACACACCCAGCATTTCTCCCTTTCTGCTGTTTATAAATGTCTCACTGTAATATTTTTGGTTACAGATATAGACACGTGTGTCTTTTGCATTTCAAGTTTTAGTTGTCAGGTTTAGCTTTTTCCTTTGTTGTTGTTCAGTTGCTAAGTCATGTCTGACTCTTTGCAATCCCACAGACTGTGCCATGTAGGCACCTCTGTCCATGGGATTCTCTAGGCAAGAATACTGGAGCTGGTTGCCATTTCCTCCTCCAGGGGATCTTCCTCACCCAGGGATTGGATCCCAGTCTCTTGAATTGGCAGGCACATTCTTCACCACTGAGCCACCTGGGAAGCCCAGTTTTTCCTTAGCATTTTCCCGACATTTGATCAGTTCAGCTCACATGTCTCTGAGGTGGGCGTTATATCCCTTACAGATGAGGAAATAAACAATTCCCATGATTCATGGCAGGTTGCCTCAGGACGTGTACTGAGCAGGGCTGGGGTCCAACCCTGACTTCTAGGACATTTTCAGTGTGTTTACCACCACTGAGTCATTCAGTTTTCTTATCTCAGAGAATGTTTGCCAATAACAACTATTTATGAACATTTAATAGTATATTTTAAATATAAAGAGTTCAGTTCAGTTGCTCAGTCATGTCTGACTCTTTGTGACCCCATGGACTGCAGCAAGCCAGGCCTCCCTGTGCATCACCAACCCCCAGAGCTTGCTCAGACTCATGTCCATTGCATCAGTGATGCCATCCAACTATCTCATCCTCTGTTGTCCCCTTCTCCTCCTCCTTCTCCTGCCTTCAATCTTTTCCCAGCATCAGGGTCTTTTCCAATGAGTCAGTTCTTCCCATCAGGTGGCCAAAGTATTGGAGTTTCAGCTTCAGCATCAGTCCTTCAAATGAATATTCAGGACTGACTTCTTTTAGGATTGACTGGTTGGATCTCCTTGCATTCCAAGGGACTCTGAAGAGTCTTCTCCAACATCACAGTTCAAAAGCATCAACTCTTCGGCGCTCAGCTTTCTTTATAGTCCAACTCTCACATCCATACATGACTACTGGAAAAACCATAGCTTTTACTAGATGGACCTTTGTTGGCAAAGTAGTGTCTCTGCTTTTTAATATGCTGTGTAAGTTAGTCATAGTTTTTCTTTTAATCTTTAATTAGCTTTTCAATCTTTAAGGAACAAGCATCTTTTAATTTCATGGCTTCACTCACCATCTGCAGTGATTTTGGAGCCCCCAAAAATTAAATCTCTCACTGTTTCCATTGTTTCCCCACCTATTTGCCATAAAGTGGTGGGACCAGATGCCATGATCTTAGTTTTGTGAATGTTGAGTTTTAAGCCAACTTTTTCACTCTCCTCTTTCACTGTCATCAAGAGGCTTTTTAGTTCTTCTTCACTTTCTGTCATAAGGGTGGTGTCATCTGCATATCTGAGGTTATTGATATTTCTCCCGGCAATCTTAATTCCAGCTTGTGCTTCATCCAGCCTGGCATTTCTCATGATGTACTCTGCATATAAGTTAAATAAGCAGGGTGACAATATACAGCCTTGATGTACTGCTTTCCTAATTTGGAACCAGTCTGTTGTTCCATGTCTGGTTCTAACTTGCTTCTTGACCTGAATACAGATTTCTCAGGAGGGAGGTCAGGTGGTCTGGTATTCCCATCTCTTTAAGAATTTTCCACAGTTTGTTGTGATCCACACAGTCAAATGTTTTGGCATAGTCAATAAAGCAGAAGTGGATGTTTTTTCTGGAACTCTCTTGTTTTTTGTGTGATCCAACGGATGTTGGCAATTTGATCTCTGGTTCCTCTGCCTTTTCTAAATCAAGCTTGAACATCTGGAAGTTCATGATTCACGTACTGTTGAAGTGTGGTTGGAGAATTTTGAGCTAGACTAGATGGACCTTTGTTGGCAAAGTAATGTCTCTGCTTTTTAATATGCTATCTGGGTTTGTCATAGCTTTTCTTCCAAGAAGCAAGCTTAAACGGTGATAATTTAAAAGGACCCACATTAATGAGTTTTTGCAATTTAGGCTTCTTGGTGGCAGTAAGTTTCAAGGATTGGTTTTAGAACTTCTGAGTTGTGTTTATTGTGGTATTTCTTCCATCCTTCCCATTAAGAAGAAAAGTATAGACTGAATAAAGGCATGATGGTGGGGTGAGGGGATGATTACTTTAAAACTGGGAGGTTTCCCCCAGACCAAGTGGCCCAGGGAAGGCATGGGGCTTCCATGCCTTCCATGCCTTGGAACATTCACTCCTGGGGAAGTTTATCTTCTGCGACCCCCTCCAGCCCAGCACCATCAGAGAGAATTCAGAAATGCGGAGCAGGGGAGTGGACTGCATGCTGTCTGGCCTGGTCTCACCCTTCCCTGCTCCTTCCTTCCAGAAAAACCAACGGCCTTTCTTTTCATTCAGTCTAAGCTCCGTTGTCCCAGCCCAGAGTATCTTTAGACAGTCTGCATATAACATCTCAGCCCAGAATATCATAGCATCACTGACTCAATGGACATGAGTCTGAGCAAACTCCAGGAGACAGTGAGGGACAGGGGAGCCTGGCGTGCTGCAGTTCTTAGGGTCATGAATGGGCACAACTGAGCGACTGAACAACAATGGAATACCATTATTCAGTGGGAATTTGGGCCACAGAAAGGTGGAATTTTCTGGCAACCACCCTTGCCCTGCGTTTAAAGGAGAAAGGTAATTCATGTGTCTCGGGTTTACTGCTCATTAGAGAGTGCAGTTGAGTTGAACAGAGTCCTAAGAAAAGGTGTTTGCTTTCTGTCCTCTGCACCCCACCCCCAGCCTGGGTCCCTGCCAGCTGTGCTCAGAATAGAATCTGCCCAGAAATATTTCTCTTTTATAATCGTCTCATTTTTAAATATACACTTGTTCTGTAGCAAACTTCATGTGTTTGTTTTCTGTTTCAGATTGTTGTTAAGTTTCTCTTGTTGAGATTATATACCCGTGCCACGCTAAACTTTAACTCCGAATATTGTAAATATCAAGGTTGTTAAATCTGCTTCTTAACTTTTTCAAAGAAGCAACACAGCTTACCTTTTAAAGAGTCAGAACTTTTCTTTTAATTAATGCATTTATGCTGCTTCTCCTTTAAACTAATTTAAACTTCAAACCTCGTTTGTCTTCTCTGAACAGGTGCTGCTCTCCTGCTCCCACGTGTTCCACAGGGTGAGGAGCCCCCCCACCCCCGCCCCGCGCCCCCAGGGGCACACGGCACCCTCCCAACTCAGAGGGTTGGGGCCGTCTCTCACTTTGCTGTTTAGTCCCTCAGTTGTGTACAACTCTTTTTGACCCCGTGGACTGTGGCCCATCAGACTCCTCTGTCCATGGAATTTTCCAGACATGGATACTGGAGTGGGTTGCCATTTCCTCCTCCAGGGGACCTTCCCCACCCAGGGATCGAACCTGTGTTGGCAGGCAGATTCTTTACCACTGAGCAACCAGGGAAGCCCTCTCTCACTTTCCAGCTCCTGAAAAGAGCCATTTATTTTGTCCCTATGATTTTAGACTAGAGTAGGACTCATCCTGTTTTGAGAATTGTGAATTCTCCATGGCGTTAGAGCCGCAAATGTCCCTACAGAGAGTGTGGTTAGTGACGACCGCAGGCGTGGGCGAGCACCCGCTCCCGCCGAGTTCACTACCCGGTCTCCTGAACGCAGGGACCATCCACCTTCACACAGGGGTGCTCAGAAATGTTTGATGTGCCTACATGTACATTCTTGTAAAATATCATTTTTCATGAGGAAGGTGTTAACGTCTGATGAAACTTCTTCCCTTCATAATCTAAATTGGACTAAGTCTCATAATTATGTGAGAAAAAGAACACTATAATTACATGAGAAGTAAAACGTGTTGTTTCTACGTAATTACTCGTGAAATTTCAAGTGAAATGTTTTCCTTCAGGCTTGCCTTCAGGCTTTTGAAAAGTTCACAAATAAAAAAACGTGTCCTCTCTGTAGAAAGAACCAGTACCAAACCCGGGTGATCCGTGATGGGGCCCGACTCTTCAAAATCAAGTGTGCGACCAGGTGAGCGGCCGAGCCCCGGGACGCGTCCCGGCCACGCGGGAGCAGGCCCGCCCCGGGCGCGCTCTGGGGGCTGCGCGGTGGGGGTCTTCCCTGTGGCCCGGGGCTGACGGCGCCCTGTGCCCTAGGATCCAGGCGTCCTGGCGCGGACACGTGGTCAGGAGGTGGTACCGGGACCTGAGGAGGACGGTGCCGCCCACAGATGCCAAGCTGAGGAGGAAGTTCTTTGAAGCCAAGGTGGGTGTGACCCCGACGCCGCTGGCGGCTCCCCTGCCCACGGCTCGCGGCGCCTGCAGGGGGGCCCGTGACACCCTGAGCCGGGCTTCAGCTTTGGGCTCTTTTAAACGGTGGGATGCCGGCCCCGTAAACTGGCTCTCTAACCCGGATGGTAAATACTTTCAGATTTCCTTTTCTAGTCACCTCATAAAAGAAAGAGAAGTTGCTCGGTCGTGTCCGACTCTTTGCGACCCCAGGGACTGTAGCCCACCAGGCTCCTCCATCCATGGGGTTCTCCAGGCAAGAGTACTGGAGTGGGTTGCCATTTCCTTCTCCATCATAAAACTTGTAAAATTGGATAAGGTGAAATTCAGAGCAAGCGTTTGTGTGTCCACCTTATGACAACGATTTAGATAAACTCATCTCTTCAGAGAAAAGAAAGGAAACGGGCTCAAGGTTTCACACCTCCTGAGCAACGGAAGGACCTCCTGGCGTCACCAAAATGCAAGAGAGTTTTAGAAATAAATAACTGTGGTTTGTGCCTTTTCCTTTAACCAGTTTTTACCTGTTTGGGGTGTTTTTTTTTTGTTTTGGTTTTTTTTTTTTGGTCTGTTTAACAACTTTCCATACGCGCCTCATACAGAAAAGCACAGAAAGGCCAGGCACAGAAGAGGGGCCAGCCCCGACCTGCCTCCCAGCTCTGCGGCCTCAGGCGACACCCCGGCTCCTGCCTGGGGCCCCGTCTGTGCTGCGAAGGAGGGCGGAGCACACAGCAGGCACCGGAGACCGCGTTTACTGTAAACTTTACTGTATCATTCGGGTCTGTCTGTGTGCGCCCTTAGAGTAGTGCGATTCTGTAATTTGTAGACGCGCCCTGTATGAGAGGATGGCGTTGTGACGGTATCACCTGGAATCACTGAGGCAAACCCGCACTGTTATCTGTGGAAGCTCCACTCCCGTTTATTTCCATTCTTTCTAAAGGCATCTGTCTTCTAGCCTGCACTCCCACGTGGGATAATGAGCGATAGGAAGTTACCTTTCGCCATGCAAGGGGTGCCCTCTCTCCTGCTGTGTGATTCCTTGTGTCGAGAGCCTAAGGACTGAGCCCCGTGCGCTGGGGAGGGGGTCGCCGTGGGCCGTCGTCCGACCTCCTGCCCGACCTCAGGCTGCGGGGCTGATGTCCGTGCGTCTCAGGACCCCACCATCCTTCTGCGTGCCTGGAGTTGGGGGTGGGGGGGGGGCGGTCTTCTTCAGTGTCCCTGAAAGTAGATGGACTTAGCTTGACCACAAAGCAGCGATCATAATAGATTTTTCTAATGCCCTTCCTGGTCGCTAGGTAATGGTTCCAAGCAAGGTAGCTGTCAGTATGTACAAAAGAAAATCAGAATAATGGCTCATGTGAAGTCACCACACCTCAAACTTAATCGAGAAGGCGCACTTGATTTGCGCGCAGGACTGGGACACCAGTAAAGGCAGCGTGTGAACAAGCGACCTTAAAATACTGAGTCTCGATGACCCCGAGGTTGATGCGGGTGGAGCGCCTCCCTTCTGTGGCCCAGCGCAGCCGGTTGGAGCTGCCCCGGAGCCGCCCCCTTTCCTGGCTGGCGGGATGGCCGCTGGAGCGGGGCAGAAACAGGGAGGAGGAGGCCGTGGATGGGGAATCTGGGGTCCCCCCCACACCGCAGGACAGGCGCAGAGGACGTCTGGGGCAGGGGCAGGGCCTGGGCGGCTGCAGGTGCCCCCATGAAAACCCCCAAGTTCCGTGCCGCCTGGGCCTTTCTCAAACGTCCCCATTTTACAGAAGAAACAGCAGGTTAGCTAAAACTCCGGATAAGGGACGCGATAGAAAGAACACGTTTCACCTTCACTGTTTCCTGGACAGTGAGCCTCTCCCCCGAACGGCTCAGGGAGCAGCATGCTCACCTCCTTAGTAGGTCTCAGCTCCACCGAGTCTACCGTCCTCTCTAGAAAGCCTTGTACCTTCCCCCCACCACCCTCACCCCCCACCCCGAGCCTGGATGGGGCCACCATCACTTCCTCCACAGCCTCTGTCTCACCTCCCGAGTGTTGTGGTTCACTCTGAACCAGTAAGCGACTGTCTCCCATGTTGGTTTTTCTTCTTCCTCTTATATTCCTTCCATGCTTTTCTGTATTCTTAGCCTGACAGTAATGCTTATTCTCTGTGTTCCTCTTAATAATTTATAATATATAATAATCATATTATTATATATAACTATTACATATATATATGTGGGCTCTCAAATCAGAAATTATCATTTCCACTTGGAAAAATTTAATTACAGACTCAGTAGTTGTTTTACCTTCTGTGTATATTTTTTTATTTTCATGCATCAGTTTAAGATAACTTTTGAAAGAATAGACTACCCTTTGTGTTCACATGGAGCAGAGTCGAGCGGCTCAGCTGGCTGTACACACACATGCCACATACTTCAGATCACTCTTCCCCAGAAGCATTTTAACTTAGTGAAGTTATACTCCTACTTTGTTGCACAAATGGGCATTTTATAATTGCCTCTTTCAATTTATGAAATCTAGAATCCCCGGCTCTCTCTGCTGGTTTCCTAAATCTTCTCCACAATTTTTTCACAGCTCACCCCAGCTCACTTATCCCATTTGGCCATGAACAATCGACATCTGTAAACCCAAACCTCATTTTCAATAAATGAAGACTGCATTTACGTCAGGTAGTAGATTGGCAGAAGTATACACTCCTGTCCCTGCTCCTGGTGGCTGATAATGGTAGAGGCCTTGTATACTTAAATGCCTACCTAGGAAGAGCCCAGAGATCGTCCTTTATGATATAGACCACTTCTTATCATTTATTGAGTGACTCTTGTGATTTGATGACTTTTTCTTCCTCTTCCAACTTGATGGACTCACTTCCTGAGCTATAAGTATGATCTTGTTGTTCAGTTGCTCAGTCGTGTCCAACTCTTTGTGACCCCATGGACTGTAGCACGCCAGACCTCCCTGTCCATCACCATCTCCCAGAGCTTGCTCAAACTCATGTCCATCAAGCCGGTGATGCCATCCAACCATCACATCCTCTGTTGTCCCCTTCTCCTCCTGTCTTCAATCTTTCCCAGCATTAGGGACTTTTCTAATGAAGATCAGCTCTTCCTAGGGATGATCTAGGGAATGTTAAGCTACAACTTTAAATGCCAGCATGCTTGTGTGGAATCTGAGAGGTGATTAAACTAGGTCTCTGAGTTTCACTTCACCCAGGAGTCTATAGATACACCCAGAGATGTACACAGATGACAGTTTGAGAACCATATCAGTAAGTTACTATGAGCTACTGGGTGAAAGATTGTTGGGGAACTGCATTTTTCACACACAGTCTCAAAGAATCACCCCACAGATGAGTCAGAATCTTTCAAGAGGAGGAGAAGTGCATACACTGGAAAAGTCCAGTAATGCTCTTCTCAGCCCAGGGGCCACAAAGCCGGTCTCTGGGCAGAGTGACCCCTGAGGCGCTTGCGCACACGGAGCACTGGGGCAGAGCTGCGCCTTTGCACTTTGACACCAAAGATGCTTCACCCGAACCCAGCCACGAGGACACCTGTGAGCAGGTGGGTCCACAATGAGAAATACTCTGTAAAACAGCTGACATCAACAGAACAGTGTCATAAAGAAAAAAAGAGGAATGTTCTGGAACAAAGTTACTTGAGAGATATAACATTTAAATGTAATGAAAAATCTTTGGCCGAATCCTAGGTCAACACTAAACACGAAAGGAACATGAAAACCAAGCAGTTGTGACAGTGCCAAAGGAACACATTAATCTCCCCAGTAACTGACTCCAAAGACACGGAGGTCTGTGATTTACATGGGAAAGAACTCAATGTCTTGAGAAAGCTCAATGAGCTACCATAAAACACAGAAAAACCATTCAACAATCTGAGGAAAACAACATAGAAACAAAATGAGAAATTTAACAGAGTGATAGAAAAATTAAAAAGAACCAAGCAAATTCTGGAGCTGAAGTATACAATGAATGAAATGAAAGAAAAAAAAACCTTTAATAGAAGGCATAAACATTAGAATGGTTCAAACAGAAAAGTGTGAGTTAGAAGACAAAACTTCTGAAATTATTCAGTAAGAGGAGAACAAAGAAAAAAAAGTGACGAAGGTATGTGTGATCCTTGGAATACATTAGAAGAAACAATTTGTAAATTGTTAGAGTCTCAGAAGAAGAGAGGAAGGAGGCAGATAGTATATAAAGAAACAATGGCTGAGAACTTCCCAGATGGGGGAGAGAGTTAGACATCCAAGTTGGTAAACCTCATAGGTCACCAAACAAACTCAATTTAAAGAGATGTTCTCCAAGACACATTATTATAATTGTCAAAAATCAAAGACAGCATCTTAAAAGCAGCAAGAGAAAATAAGCTTATAACTAATTTAACAAGAAAATGCCCACAGGCTATTGGTGGGTCTCAGCAGACTCACAGGCCAGAAGGCGATATATTCAAGGTGATAAAAAGAAAAAAAACTGCCGAGCAAGAACACTTCACTAGCAAAGACGTCCTCCAGAAGTGAGGGAGAGGTGACAGAGCCTGCCCCGAACAGATGGGGGCTGAGCAACCTCGGCTCTAGGCCCGCCTCCCAGGACATGCTGAGATTTTCAGGCTGAACGCTAATTTCAGGAAGGATGCTAATTAGTGACATACACATGTGTGTGCTCAGTCATGTCTGACGCTATGGCCTGTGGACTATAGCCACCAGGCTCCTTTGTCCATGTCCATGGGCTTGCCCAGGCCAGAATACTGCAGCAGGCTGCCCTTCCCCCCTCCAGGCAATCTTCCTGACTCAGAGATCGAACCCTTGCCTCTTGTGTCTCCTGCATTGGCAGGTGTATTCTTTACTACTGCACCACCTGGGAAGTCCAGTTAGTAACATGGGAACACATAAAAGAAAGCACATTGTCAATTCAGAATACTCTTGATACTGTTAATATTGTGCTATGTTACTCCCTTATAAAGGTTAAAGAACAAAGT